TCCCCGCCCCCATCCTCGGCCGCCCAACCCTCAGCACCCCAAAACCTCCGCCCCCCACTCGCCCACCTTCAGCCCCGAGGCAGGCCTGTGGGGGCTCGGGGGAGGCGGCAGCGGCAGCGGAGGCCACTCACCAGGCTCCGCAGCAGGTCCCCCCGGGGGCGTCGGGGGCGCGAGCTCCCATCCGCAGGCTGAGGGGCCAGGCGCGGGCCTGGGGGCGCGGGGGGCAGGGGGCCGCTGGGACTCAGCCGTCCCGTCAGGGCCAGCCTGGGCGCGGGCTCCCGCCCTCCCCGCGGAGGCCCGGCCGGTCCAGCGGGTTCGCTGGGTTCCCAGCCGCGTCAGAGCCGCCCCGCCCAGGCCCGGCTGCGGCGTGGGCGCCGCCTCCGAGGCTGCAGGGGTGCGCCCGCCCCTCCGGAGGGCGATGTCCGGCCCTGCGCTCCGCTCCCTCCCGGAGGCCCCTCCACCTGGCTCCGCGGGGGAGATGGGGCTGGGAGGGACCCCCCAGGGGCCCCCCAACGTGCTGAGAATCCACGGGGACCGCCGGGGCCGCCGGCCGGGGAAGCGCACGGGGAGCCGCCCGCAGCCTGCGCCCCGGGGACCCTCCCAGCCCAGCAGGCCCCCAGGGCCCAGACCCCCACCCGAGACCCCGGCGCTGCAGGCCTTCAGCACGGCCCCGGAACTGGGGGTCCACAGCAGGGGGCGCCCCACCCCAGCCTGGAGACCGCTGGTAGTTGAAGGGCTTCGTTGTGGACAAAACATTGTGGAAGTGGACGGGTGCTGGCCACAAGCGTGCCAGTGACACTCACGGGGGACACGCGTGCCCGGTCACTCAGCTGACCGCTGACTCTCCCGGACATGCCCGGCCCACCCGCTGGCCTGGCTCGCAGCCCCCAAAGCTGGACTTGGCCGAGTGCCGCGGCCACACCGCCGCCTCCTGGGGGAACCGGCTCCTGGGACTCCCGGGGAAGGGGCGCCGGGCAGGGGTGGGATTTCCGGGCCTGCCGGACCTGAGGGGCTGCGGTGCCTCCGCCAGAGCCACGCAGGAAGCCCAGCACCCAGGGGAGGGCGCTGGCGGGGGGCCGCGGAGGGGCCATGTGGAGCCCACACATCGCAGGTGGCCTCAGAGGACATTAGCCGTGCTGCGGGAGCTGGTCCAGGTGTAGCCAGTGGTCGGGATGGGCAGGGAGCGGCGCCTTCCCTGAGTTCTGAGGAGGGTCCCCAGACACAGCCGCGTGGGGGGAGGGTCTGGAGATGCCCCTCAGCCACTCCCCTTGGGCAGGGGTGTAAGCTAAGAGCCCCCTGCACCAACCAGGGAGCTGTTTGGGGCGCTCTGCACCTTCATGATGGAAGCTCATCTGCAGGACCCCAACCCCTGACTGTCCTGTGAATATACTGCAAGTCACTGCATTGCAACTTAAATAGGTGGACTTTAGGGCCTCCCTGGTGGCGCAAGGGGTTAAGCACCACACTGTGAAGCTGTCCGCAGCCTCTGCAGCTGAATTCCATCCCTGGCTGGCCAGGGAGCTACCCACATGGCGCAGCAGACCTCTCTTGTCTCCCCGCTGCTCCCCTCAGCAGATCTGCCTGTTCTGCTCCCCACTCTGTCTGTGGTGAATCCTCTCACTCCCCCCCCCCGCACCTCTGGCCTGTGCCCCAGCTCTTGCATAAATAAATCTTTTAAAAAATAGGTGGATTTTACGATGTGAATTAGATCTCAACAAAGGTGTTAAAATAATCGTTTTTACAAAGTGTGACTACTGTGCCCCTTTTTTCATGTATGGCCTCTGCGCCCGAGGGGCCAGTGGCCAGTGGTGGGGCGGCCGGCCAAGGGCGGTCTGGGCAGAACCTGAGCGCTGGCCCCGCAGCACATGGACAGAGGCCCTCCTGCCTCCTGGAACCTTCTGGATCTGCTGCCCTCCTGGCCCTGGTGGCTCTGTGCAGAGCACCCACCAGAGTCCCCAGGGCGTCCCTGGACATGGCGGTGGCTGGGCAGGCGGGTCTGGTGGGGACCTGAGTTCTGTGGGGCAGGGCGGTGGCGGCTTCCTCAGTCACTTTTCTTCGAATTTATTGTCCCAGTTTCAAGCCTCAGGCAGAGTTCCGGGCCTCAGGAACTCGATTCTCTTGTTTTTAAGGCACCTGTGTCTTTCTCGAGTACTCTCTGGCCTGACGCCCCGAGAACCAGCCACCTCAGTGGGGCCAGGGAGCCGTCCTCCGTCCCGGGTCTGGGGGACATTCCAGGACCGGCAGGCACGAGAAACGCGTTTGTGAAAATACTAAATTTCAGGAACTAGGTCCAGGCCCAAATCCTCTGCTGCGGCTGTTTGTGGACACCACGGCCTGAGGGAGCCCGTGTGGACGCCGCGGCTCCCCTGGTGGAGGGCGGGGTGGGGGCTCTACTTCACACTTGTGTGGAGCGGGTGTGGTGCGGGCCGGCCAGCCTGGGCACGTGTGCAAACGCCCACTTAAAACTCCTGCGTGACAGGTGTGAGCAGGCTGCTGGGAAGAGGGTTCCGAGTTGGTATGGCTTTGAAAGGAGAATGTTTTGCCTCTTTTTATTCTAAAATAGTGGCAAATCATTTCAAAATGCAACATTATCAACTAGTTTTTACTATGTAACGCGTGCTTTCCCCCGCCCCCCAGTGAGGCAGGGTGACAGCTGCACCCCCAGAGCCTGCACCTCCTCCCTGAGAGGGGCCCCTGCTGCAGGGGGAGGGGGGGCTTGACGTCCTCACAGGCTGCTCTCACAGCTCTTTCTTCCGGGAAAGTCTGCGGGGTGAGCCTGCTCCTCCCCCGTGCTCGGTCTCCCGCCTGCAGAGGCTCCGCCAGCGCCAGGGCCCCAGGTGGGCCTGCTGGTGGAAAGTCCCCTTGGGGGTCTTTTTTCCTAGAAGTATTGCTCCTCCTCCTGGGGGGTTCGCATTTCAGGACCTGCCCCTCTGGCCAGGGACGTCTGCAGGCCCTGCTGTGACCCTCCCCTGGCTCCCAGGTCTCCTCTCTTTGGCTTTAGGCATGAACGCGCGAGCCCAGGGCTGGTCCTTGCCCCCGCCAGCCTGGGCCCCGGCGTCTGGCGCTGACCCTGGAAGAGCCCAGCCCCCCGAGCCCCTGCCCAGCCCTCCGCAGCCGCGGCCCGGCTCACGTGCCCTGTCCCTGAGTCAGCCAGCAGCCGGGACACCTGCTCCGGCTTCGTTTCCCACGGCGCGGCTCGGGCTGCTCCTGGCGACGCCACTGCTGCTCTCAGCTCAGCCAGGCCGCCCAGAGAGCCCTCAGCGCATCCTTCGTTTCTGTACTTTTATATCTCGTATTTTCTGGGATGTTTTTGGCCGTTTCTGCGTCTCAGTAACATTCCCCACTAAGCCTGTTGATGGAGTCCAGCACCTCCCATGCGGGGCGTCCCTGGGGTGCCCTTCTCTGCCTTCTCTGCCCCTTGCCATGGCCCAGCGCAGGCTTTGGAGTTATGTGCAAGCCCTGTGTCTGAAACTTTGCGCCCCAAGTCCCGAGAGGGGGGCCCTAGGGAGACGGGCAGGCAGGTGGCAGTGAGCTCCGCTGTCCCCACACCCAGGACAAGGTCACTGTGTCCACTTTTCATTTCGGAAGCCTGATGGTGATTGGGCACCTTCCCAAGTGGCCCCGGCAGCACCCACGTGGCTGACGGGAGCTGAGCCCAGGGCCGGGCAGGCTCTGGCCGCGGGAGGCCACCTGGCGCCTGGGTTATTCTGGGCTCCGGTCAGCCCCTGCAGCAGTGCGGCTCCGCCCCAGGCTCCCGGCCACCTCTCTGCCTGGCCTCGGCCTTGCGCCTCCAGGCCCCTGTGGCTGCCGCACAGACTCCTGCGCTGCGCTCGCCGCGGGGCGCGCTGTCATCCCCCGCCTGGGGCTGGGACGGGCCCTGCGGCTCCCCTCGGGCCTAGGCAGGAGCCGGCCGGGCAGCGGCAGGGCGGGTAACACCGCCGCGCCCGGGCTCTCGCGCAAGCCCGGGGGAGACCTGGCAGGGCGGGTGCGTGAGGGTCACCACGGCAGCGCCCGCCAGGCCACCGCCCAGGGCCGGGAAGGCGACCCCAGTGCAGGCCCCTGCAGGCCCGCGGGCCCCGCTGAGGACAGCCCTGGGCCGCTGGCTGCCCCGCCCGCTCCCGCCGCCCGCCCGCCCGCCCCGGCCGGGCCCGCCCCGCAGCAGGGCCAGGCGCGCGCGGACCCGCATGCGGGGCTCCCGGCCGCCCGGGACGCGGCCGCGCTCGCGCCGGCGCCATGTCTGCGCGCGCCGGGCAGGTGGGGCGGCCACGTGGGCAGCGGCCCCGAAAGCAGCGTCTGCGCGCGGGTGCTTCCAAGTCAGGCCGGGGGTCAAGCCGCCGCCCCCCGCTTCCCTCCTGCACCCGCCGGCGCCCCCCGCGCGCCTCGGGGAGGCCCCGCGCGCCCCCCGCCGCCCCCACTTCCCGCCCCGCGCGCCCCGGCGCGCGCTAGGACCCGGCGGCGGCCCGTGGGCGGGGCTCCAGGTATTGTGACGTCGCAGGGGCGGGCCCGGCGCCCGGACAGACGGACGGACGGACGGACGGACTGGCGGCCCCGGCGTGCGGCGCGGCGGCTGGTAAGGGCCGGGTGTTGGGGGCCCCTGCGCGCCTGGGGGACCCGGCGCCGTCCTCGGGCTCGGGACGGGCCACCTGCCCCCGCCCGCCGCCCGCGCCCCGCTCGGCCCCCCGCGTCCCCGCCGTGCGCCCCCCGGCCCCCCGCCCCCCGCCCCGCCTCGCCTCCGGCCGTGCGGTCCCCGCGCGGGTCCAGCGCCCTCCCCGGGGCAGAGCGCCCCGCGGCCGTGCGCCCCGCGCCTCTGCTCCCGGCGGGGGCCGCGGGGCGCGCCCAGCAGGCCTGAGCCCCAGCGCCGCGACCCCGCGCGCTCCGGCGCCCCCGACCCGCTTCCTGCCTCCCTGCCTCCCAGGCCGGCGCCCCAGGACCGCGCGCGGCGGCCGCGCGATGTGGGGGTGACGGCCCGGGCGCCATCCAGCAGCCCGGGAGCCCGGCCGGCCAGGTGGCCGCCTGCCCGCTGGCGCGGGGCGCTGGCCATGGAGGCGCAAGGCTTGGATTGGCTCCTGGTCCCGCTGCACCAGCTGGTCTCCTGGGGCGCGGCCGGGGCCATGGTCTTCGGAGGGGTGGTGCCCTACATCCCCCAGTACAGGGACATCAGGAGGACCCAGAACGCCGAGGGCTTCTCCACCCACGTGTGTCTGGTGCTCCTGGTGGCCAACATCTTACGGATTCTCTTCTGGTGAGTTGGAGCGAGGCTGATGGAAGGCTCCCCGCGAGATGGCTTCTTTTGGGGGGGCTTCTGCTGGGGGAGAGGTGGGTGGGAGCGATCGTACTTCCTAAGAGGCTGCAGGGTGGGCTCCAGCTGGGAACTCCCAGTGGAAGCTGCGGGCCTGGCCTGGGTTCCTGGCTGCTTGGCCTGGGGCTGTGGGAGGGAGCAGAGAGCAAAGAGCGAGCGGGTGGATGGGTGAGCTGAGCAAGTGGACCGCTGGCCAGGGCCAGCGGTGGACCCCGGGCGGGTGGACCCCAGCCCCCCTCCCAGGGGCCTCTGGCGCTGACGAGGTGTTTTGGTGGTGGTTGTTTTAAATGGGAAGTTCACTTTCTCGGAAACACTTGAGACTGTTTTCTTGCTCCTCCCAGGCCAACTTCCTCTGATTATCACTAGCGTCTGGTAAGGAAATTGACTTTAGCTTTAAAAGGTTCCTGAAGCTAGATGTGGAGAGGGGGCTCTTCTGAGGAAATGAAATGGCCTCTTTGCTCTTCTGCAGGGCCGAGAGCCCGGAGCCGCCTTTCTCCGGGGCAGCCGGGCTCATCTGCAGCGAGGGCGCAGGGCAGGCCCTCATCCCGCCTGGGGCCGCTTCGGCTGGGACTTAGTGCCCTTGGCGTGTCCTGGCATTTGCTGAGTGACTGTTAAGTCAGCTCGTGGAGGCCCGGCTTGCATGAGGCAAACTCGCCCCCCTGCAGGGTGGGTTTCCTACATTGGGGGCGGCACCCCGCCCTGTCGTCACACCCCGATCCAGGTGTGACCCCTTTGCATCTGTCTGGCTCTGACCACGGCCTGCGGTCGCTCTGAACGAGGCCACTCTGGCCCCCGCATGGGGGTTCCGGGTGCACTGCAGCAGCCTCGGGGAGCAGCCCCCCTGGATGTGTGTGGGGCCCTCCTAGCAGGACTGGCAACGCCCCCTCCCTCCCCGGGGTGTGGTGGGTCACCCCTGCCTGGATGGAGGCCAGTGGGGTCTGGTGGCCCTGGGGGGTGGCACGGCCGGGCGCTTCCACCGCAGGAGCGCTTGCTCAGGCAGGAGTGCCGCCGGCTTGGCGTCGGTCAGCACCTCAGAGGGGCCCCCTTAGAGGCCCGTCCCCGGAGGCCAGTCACACAGAACTGCAGGAGCCTCATCTCCATCTCAGTGTCTGGTTCAGAGAAGCCAGGACTTCTGGCAGCATCCTCACTGCCGGCTCTCAGTGCCCCACCAGGCCGGGCGGCAGAGCCGGGGCCAGCTCCCCCGTGGACTGCCGGGTGTGGCACATCCGCCTCTTGTGGGCCTGGGCTCTGCCCACCGCGGGCTGTCTCTATGCACCCCTGTTCCTCGCGTCCTGACCCCCCCGGCTGCCAGGGGCTCAGGGCCCCTGTGCAGACACTAGGCCGCGCCTGCCAGCATCCAGACTTAAGGACTGGGGGGTGGTGGCAGGGCAGGCCGGGCGCTGCCTGGGGCACTGGCCGTGCAGCTCACCGTGGCTGTGCTGGTGGTTCACATGGAGAAGCCCCTCAGACCCGGCTCCTCTGGGACGCGTCGCTGACGTGGCCCCTGCCCTCCAGCCCAAAACCCCCTGTCCATGGGAGGCAGATGCGCCCGCCCGGCCCCTCACTGATGACACTTGTAACCCTCTGTCCCAGGTCACCCTGCTAGAGTTGAGGGGTTCCCTGTGCCTGACATAGGCCGGGCGCTGTGGGATTCGTCCCCCGCAGGGGGCACACGGGGAGCGACCACCCACACAGGAGGGGTGAGGTCCCTGCCTCAAGCTGCCGCCTGCCGGCCCACCCCTGTCGGGAGCCCCGGCCCTCTAGCTGGAGGCACAGGTGTGCAGAGAGCTGGGGGGCCCCTGTCCCGTGCGAATGCAGGGTTTCCACACCCGCTTCATGCAATGGTGTCATCCTTTTGCAAAACTGGCCTTCACCAGCTCAGGCTCGTGAAACGCTGACATGCAGGGTTTGGCCTCAGTCATGTCAGAAATCGGGTGCAGGCCTGAGTGACGTGTCACAGCCTGGAGCTGCGGGGCGAGGCGCCCCAAGGCCTCCTGACACCCCCTGGGGGTGAGCACTGCACCCCCAGTGGGGTGGGGACAGTGGCAACAGAGTTATGGCAACACTGTAGCAAATGTGGCCACCATGTAGCCAGAGGGGTCTGGCCTCTGAGAAATGTGGTGACATTGTATCCGAAAGGTTAGAGTCATTCTGACACCCAGGCCCCGCTGTCCTGCGGCTGGGGGGGTAGCTCCGTTAAGGGCACCCCAGACCCCGCACGCCTGCCTGCTCTGAATCGGTTCTGCCGTCCGCCGCATCAACACAAAACATACGAGACTTTAATGAAAAGGAGCTTTAATGCAATTAGTGAACAATACAGGAGAGACAGAGAATCTAGTTTCTAAATCAGGCACCCAAAGTGACCCGTCCCGTCATGGGTGAGAGTCCACACAAGCAGGACTGGCCCAGAGCAGGGCCCCAAAGCTGCCACCCGTCGAAGGCATCTTCCCGCAGGGCCCCACAGAAAAGGATCAGAAACAACCAGACAAGTCAGAGAGGAAAAGAGCAAAATCAAAATAAGGTGAAAGCCGCCACTGTCCCCTCCCCACGGGTCTCTCACCCGCATCTGCGTCCCCCCGTCCACGACCACAAGACAAGCGCAGCTTCTTCACGCGTCTCTCGGCTCCACGGGCCTCCCCCAGGTCTCCTCCTGGCTCCATCCTGCTCCCTCCTTCCTCAGTCTCCTCCTCAGCTTCTTCTCCCCCTGCTTCGCCCCGCCCTCCCTTGGGTGGGCAGGAAACCTGGAACCCCCCTTTCCTGGGGACCCCCGTTACAGCTCCATACCCCGAGACCCTCCACGCAGGAGGGAGTAGCCCCACACAGGGAGCTTGCCGATCCCGCCGCCCACCCCGTGCAGCTGTGCTGACCCCTGCGCGGCCCCTCCAGGCTGGCCCTCCGCCCCTCCCGGCTCCACCTCATCTCCATCCCGGCCCTTCTCCCATGGAGGAGGAGGCGGCCAGAGAAATAGCAGCCCCCGACCCAGGTGCCCTCCGCAGGAGGGAGTGTCCCCGGGGCCTGCCTGTCTCCAGGCACAGGCCGCAAAAGGCTGCTCGCTTTGCCTCCTCGCCAGCTCCCTGGGCCACTGTGACTGGGCCGGAGTGGTGCTCCCTTCACCCCCACACCTGCGGCTGGACTGGGCAGTGCTCTCCTCGCGGGGCAGTGCTCACGGGCGGGGCCGGGCCAGGCCTGTTTGGGGGTGCTGCCTGCCAGCTATCAGGAGGTCCCCAGGCTGATCAGAGCCTGGCCAGCTGCTGGCCCCGGGGGCCCCACACAGGGCGTGGTGCCTCCTCCTGGCCAGCTTTTGCAAAAGCTGTTTTTTGTTGTTTTTTTTGTTTTTTTTTTTTTTAAGATTTATTTATTTATTTATTTATTTATACAAGCACTGGGCACAGTCAGAAGCGCGGGAGGGTGAGAGAATCCACCAGAGCCAGAGCGGGGAGCAGAGCAGGCAGAAGGACGAAGCACACTGCTGAGGGGAGCAGCGGGCGGCAGGAGAGGTCTGCGCGCCATGGGGGACCCTCGCCGGTGGCCGGGGATTGAACCGGCGCTGCAGAGGCTGCGGGCAGCTTCGCAACCCAGCGCCCAACTGCTGCGCCACCAGGGAGGCCCTGCAAAAGCTGTTTTGCTCTGATTTCTCGACATCTTTCCGTCTCACAGCAGCAGCCTAGTGGGGCCTGCGCTGGTCTCTGTGGCCAGCTCTCCGGGTGCCCACCTTGGGGGGTTCCAGGCCAGCTGGTGGGAGCTGGGCTGCGTGCTTGTCTGTCTCCTCATCCTCTGGACAAGTGGGGTCACTGCTGCCCGAACCCCCTTTCTGGATGTGCTGACCACCAGCTCAGGCCCTGTATGTGCCCTCGGGCCATAGCCTTGCTGTGCAAGCTGGAGTGGGGGGCCAGGAGAGGTGGGGGTGTGGCTTGGAGGTGGGGGCTCTGTGGGCCTGGGTCCAGGGCACGGCCAGGCTGGCATTGCGGGCAGTGTTGGCCGCGGCCCTGGGAACTGGGGTCTTCTGAGGGGCAAAGCGGACACCAGCTATGGCCTGGGGTGCGGCCTCGGGGAGCTCGGGTCCAGGGCACTCCTGAGAGAGAAATCAGCAGGAGGGCTGGAGGGGCCGCGAAAGACAGTGGCCTCGGGTCTGGGTCAGGGGGCATTGGGCCTGGGTCTGGCATTCGGGCCTTTGTGTGGCACTCGGGGCTGCCCAGTCTCTGGTGGGGTGGAAGTTTGGGACGCCTGCTGCTTTGCCCACACTGGGCTCCGGGCCTCACAGGAGGCCAGACTGCGAGCCAGTAGACAGCCGGGGAGGCTGGGGTCGGGGGCTGCTGCCAGGCGGGCGGCTTGGCGGGTCCCCGGAGGGCGCTGCCCAGCCTGACGCATGTCTCCCCAGGTTCGGAAGGCGCTTCGAGTCCCCGCTGCTCTGGCAGAGTGTGGTGATGATCCTGGCCATGCTGCTCATGCTGCGGCTGTGCACCGAGGTCCGCGTGGCCAGCGAGCTGAGCGCCCGGCGCCGCTGCTTCGCAGGTGGGTGCAGTGGGCAGGGGGGCCGGGCGGGGCCGGTCAGGTCTGGCACCTGTGTTTGCTCCTCCTGCACATCCGGGCAGGCAGGAAGTGCAGCTGCGGCCACATGGCAGCTGGTCCCGGGGCTGTGAGGTCTGCTGGCCACCGTGCCGCCGTGGCTCCGGGGCCCCCGCATCGGCCAGGTTCTGGGTGGGACCCTGGGTGCTCCCCTGCCAGCCCCTCCCACGGTGACAGCGCAGCAGCCTCTGCCCAGAGGGGCACTTGCTGCCTGGGCGTGCCCTGCCCCGGGCCTGGGCCCTGGGAAGCAGGTCACCCGCTGCCTGCTGCTGACGGCTCTGCCGCCTCCCTGGCACCCCCACGCCCAGGTGCAGTAGGCGTGGCCAGAGTGGTTGAGAGGCACCCATCGCTTCCTGGGATGGAGCCAGGCCCTGAGCCAGCTCTGCTGGGTGGGGGCCAAACACCCAGGGCTGGGCGCTGAGGCCCCAGGCCAGGCTCTGGCCCCGTGGGGGCGGGCGGGCCCTGGCACGGAGCCGGGCGCCAGCTGGGGCGTGAGCCCTAGGCTGAGCCCCAAGATGTTGACTGACCTTGTTGCAACAGTCACCCCTACATGCACCTTCGCCTGCTTTTCAGCAGGGCTGGTGCTGGCACAGGCGGTGAGCGGCAGGCTGGCGGGGCTGGCGAGCCTGTGGCCGCACCCCTGGACTCAGGAGAAGCGCTGTGAGAGGCAGGCCACGGCCGTCCTTCCCGCTGGGGAGCCCGGGCTGAGTCAAAATGGCCAGTCTAGCTCCGGGGAAAGGACTGGACTCCAAATTTTACCAGCAACCTTTCCCGGTCACGGCCCCACATGTCCCGGAGCCTGTGACGAGTCACTTCTCCTGGCCGGGGTGCGGTCCTGATGTCCCGAGGCCCTCGGTGGGGATGGGGACGAAGAGGGTGACCAGGCCAGGCCGCAGGTGCCCGGACTTCTGGAGCAGCTGTAGGTTCTTGAGGCCTGCACGGCCCACACTCTCGACGCTGGACCCAAGGCCGGCGTCTGCATGTCCCTGTCCTCGCGCCCTCACACTGCGTGTCTGTCCCGCTCACCCATCGGAAGCTGGCGCGGAGGCCCAAGCTCCAGACAGGGAGGTCTGGGAGCTGCCCGGGGCCTGCGGCCATCCTACTGGCAGCCTCTGCCGGCAGCCCGGGCGGCCCAGTCCAGAGAGTCCAGCACCAGCGTCCCCACGGGCGGGGCAGCCTGGACTTACTGTTGCGCTTTCCCGCGTCTTTACAGTTGTTTAATTCTGAAGGTCGCCAGTTCAACTTGGAGGTCAAGTTTAAAGAAGCAGTGGTGGGAGGGAGGGAGGGAGGCCCTGCGACCGGTTGGCAGCACAGCCGGAGCCCACCCTGGCCTCTCGGGGACACCTGCGGGAAGGGGAACCTGCTTCCCTCCTCCCGCATTTTGAGCGTTCACTGTCCCAGTTTATTCTTTTTTTCTTTTTCAGTTATTCCCCTATCGCAAAATTGGGATCATTTCCAAGTTAGCACCAAAGTTTTAAACATTCCTCCTTCCTCTGGGAGGCCTTCTCCACGCCTGCCGGCCGCAGAGGCCAGCCTGGGGTGGCCGCACTGGCTCCGAGCCGGCCTCTGTTCTGGAAGACCCGCCGCCGGCGGTGGGTGGCTGTGCGGGACGCGGGTGGCTTTTGTTGCTACTGTGGACACAGAGTAGGGGCCGGGAGGGCGGGGCGGGCGGGCCTGCCTCCTCCGTTCCGGCCGCCCCTCTGGCAGCGCCGAAAGCGAATCCCAGACACAATTCTGTCTGGAGCCTCTGTATTGAGCACCTCCGCAGGCCAAGCATCAAAACAACCTCGGCACTTCATCACCCCTTGAAGCTGAGTGATCCCTCGCTCTCCACTGTTTGCGGGTTCCTGCTGCCGCCCCCTCCTGGTGTGGGGCTCCTGGGCGGGGCTCGGGCTGCTCTGTCTGCTGGGCCGTCTTTGGAGGTTTTTGACCTTCCCGCCCCTTCCTCCTTGTCCGGTGAACTGGCACTTTGTCCCAGGGCGCCAGCAGGGCCCACACCCGGGGGTGCTGGGCCGGCAGGAGCGGGGCCCAGGCCCGGGGCTCCTTGCTGGTGGCATCCACAAGGCCAGGGCCTGTGAGGATGCTCAGGGCTGGAAGCAGGGCCTGGTCCCCTGCGCAGGCCCAAGTGCGGGCCTGGTGCACGGCTTTGCGGGGCTTGCCCAGCCCGGCCCTGTCGGGAGCAGCGTGCCGGCTGCGCACCTGCTCCACCGGGCGCGGCCCCCATACAGGCCACCCCGCTGTCCGGGGAGTGATGTGTGGACACGGCCGTCTTCCTCTCTATTTGCCGGTTCTCAAAACCGGTTCCCTGGGACCCTGCGCCCATGGCCACATTTGTTTTTATTTTATGCAGAATGTGTGGACTTGACGTATTTCACGAGCTCTGCCGGCCGGATATTCTGGCTGAAGCCCTGGCCCGGCCGTCGGAGCTGCCCTGAGCTCTCGGGGAGGCCGGCTGGACCAGGGCGCCTTTCTCCCAGGAGTCCAGGCGCCTGAGTGGTTTTGGACACAGTGTCGGGGCCCAGGGCGGCTGTGGGGTCGGGGCTGGGTGGGAGGCGTTGAGGGGCCGGCGTGTGCTGGCGGGAAAGGGACCAGGGCGAAGCCCAGCCCTGGCCCGCACCCCCTCCAGGGGGCCTTGCTGTCTCCGGAGGTGCCAGTGGGTGGCGCCGTTGGTCTAAAGCGAGGGACGCAGCGACGAGCGGAGAGGGCTGCTGGCCGCTGTGAGAGCCCGGTCGGCGCGGGGGGGCAGGGGCTGTGGCCGGCGGGCCGCGGGTTTGTGAGACCCTCCAGGTCGCTCTCCGGGCGCCGGCCGCGCCCAGGGCTGGTGCTTGCCTTCAGCGACTGCCTTGCAGATTCCCCGTGTCCAGCTAGAGGCTGCACCGGGCGAGGACCCTGCGGCCCTGCCGCGCTCCGGGCGCGCCCCCTCCGCCCCGGCCCCCGCTGGAGGCGCGGGTGCGTCACGCGGCTCCCCCAGGCCTGGGGAGCGGCCCCACCCTGCGCGCCCGGCGTCTGGCTGGCGGGAGAGGCCGAGCGCCCGGCACGCGGCGCCGCCCCAGCTTCGTGCCCTGGATCTTGGACGCCCGTGAGGGTGGGCTGGCTTCTGGCCCCAAGTGCCTCCCCCGGCCCCAGGCACCCGCTGGGAGAGGCGCGGAGAGGCGCGGTCTGGCGCGAGACCGGCAGCGCCGACGGCCGCAGGGGCCGGGAGGAGGCCGGGCGGGCTCGGCTGCCCGCGCTGCGCCGCCCTGTTCTGTCTCCTTCCTCCGCCCGCCCTCCCGCTCCTTAAATGTGGCTGCAGGTAATAAGGACGGGGAACTCAAAGGCCCCCGCGGCGGTCGTGTCCGGGTAGGTACCGCTGCCCGAGCGCCCGCGCCCCGCCCGCGCCCCGCCCGCGCCCCGCGCCCCGCCCGCGCCCCGCGCCCCGCCCGCGCCCCGCGCCCCGCCCGCGCCCCGGCTGCCCGCCCCGGGGGAGGCGCAGGAAGGACAGAGGGAAATGATCCGACGATCCGTTTCGTTACGTTTGCTTCAAATTGTTTGAGCGTTGAAGCGCGGGCGCTGGGCTGGTTCCTTAGGTTCGCGGGCTTTGCTCTTGGCGCGGCAGAAATGAATTTGGTGTTGCGTGCTGCGCGTCCTGCGACCTCGCCGACTGGCTCTTCCACTCTGGAAGCTTCCCGCGGGGGCCTTAGGAGCTTCCACGCCCTCGGCTGTGCGACCCGCACCTGGAGGTGGTTTCGGGTTTCCTTTCCAGTCCGCCGCTCCCTCCTGGGCCCGGCGCTGTGCGCGGCCGTCCCGGGTTCTGTGGAGCCCTGCTGGGTGGCCGCGAGGGCGGGCGCTGGCTGGAGGAGAGCCGCTGCGGGCGGCCGGGGGCCGCGCTTGGCGCTGCTCGGCGGGTCCCCGCGGGCCCGGCTCTCACCAACCCTGCGTTCTTGGGCCAATCCCGTCCGGGCGTGGTGTGAACCCCCCCCCACGTTGCCACATGGTTTGCTAGTGTTGTGCTGAGGACGTTTGTGTCCATATTACAAGAGATTTTACTCTGCCCTAGTGATGGCTTTTGTTTTATATCGGAACTGCACTGGCCTTATAAAATAAATTGCAACAGGGAAATGTCCTCTTTCTTTTTTGTGAAGGGTTGGTATCAGTATTTTTTTTTAAGATTTATTTACTTATGCATACCAGAACTGGGGTGTAAGCCAGAGGGGGGGGTAAGGGTGAGGGGGTTGTGTGTGAGAGGATTCACCAGAGGCAGAGAGGGGAGCAGAGCAGGTGGGTCCACTGAGGCACACAGCTGAGGGGAGCCGCGGGGAGACAGGAGGGGTCTGCTGCGCCCTGTGGGTAGCTCCCTGGCTGGGGATCGGACTCATGCTGCAGAGGCTGGTGGTAGCTTGATAGCGCCGGGACTAACTAACCCCTGCGCCCCCAGGGAGGCCCTGGTATCAGTCTTTTATTACTTAAATTTTTTCTTGACATATATTTGGTCTACTGCATTGTGTAAATTTAAGGTGTACAACATGTGGATTTGTCACCTTGTGTACTGTGAGATGCTAGCACCTCTGTCACATCACTTACCACTTCTTCGTTGTTAGAATAATTGAGGCAATAGTCTCTTAGCAACTCTGATGACTTTAATACGATGCTGTGGATTTTTCACTCTACTGTGGATGACATATTTTGGTCTTACTAGTCGCAGCTTTGTTGAGTCTTTAAATGTTGGCTGGAATTAGCCCACGAGATATTGGGCCTGGGCTTTGCTACCCGCCTCAACAGTCTGGAACACAAGGCCAGTCTCTCCTCCTAAGTGCACTCGGGTTTTCTGTTTCTGCCTGGCTTAGTCGTCCTGGTTTCGTTCTCGGCACTTGTTCCTTTCATGTCCGACCTGCTTGCCGCCACGTGCCTGCTCTCTGTGGCCTTCATGGACCTTCTGCGGTGGGTGCTGATGCCCGCTCTGCCCCGTC